CTTCAGGCTGAACAATCCCAATTCTCCCTGTCTTTCCTCACAGCTGAGCTGCTCCATCCTTTTGATTGTCCTCTGGATTCACTCCTACAGCTCCACATCCTTCCTGTACTGGGACCCCTGCACTGGGGCAGCTCTGTTGGGAGGTGTCACCAGAGCAGGGCAGAGTTGAGGGCAGGTGTCCCTTCCCCACTCCTGTCCCTACCTCCTCCAGGAATCCGAGCAGGAAGTCCCTGACAGTGCAGTTGGAGGTGAAGAAGCCGTGGATGGCCTTGTGCAGCACGTTGGGGTTGAGGCGGCGGGAGGTGGAGGGCAGAGCCCGCAGCGCCCGCAGGACGTAGCGCGGCTCCTTCCCTGACACCGCCTTCTCCAGCTGCTTCACGTGCTCCTTGATGTCTGCAGGGGCACACGGACACCCCTCACCCCAAATCCTCTGCCAGGAGCTCCCTGGAGTAAAGCCAGGGCTGCCCCCTCACCCTGTCCTGGTGTTTTGATGTCCCTCTGCCCGTGGCCTTGGTGACCCCAGTGACCTGACCTGCCCTCAGGGCGGTCCCTGCTTGGAGCAGGGGGCTGGTGAGGCCCTTGCAGAGTCTTCTCCCTTCTCCTGAAGGGCTCCAGCATCCCTCTGCACCTCCATGGGGTCCCATCACAGCAGGTCTGCAGCCACCCTTGTCCCTCACAGTCTGTCCCCAAAACACATCCTCATCTTCGCAGAGCTGCCCCAATTCCCTTCCACAGTGATCCCCCAAAACCACGGCTCCATCTCCCATACTTCAGTGACTGCCCCCAAAAACAACCTCCTCCTTCCTTTCTCTCACACATTGCCCCAATACCCTTCTCCACAGTGTCTGCCCTACAGAAAACACGCCTCCCGTCTCTATTTCCCTCTAAATCCCTTCCCCATAGGGACACCCCCCAGACACACCTCTCCTCTCCCTTTCCCACATGGTGCCCCCACAACTCCCCTTCCCCAAGGTGTCCCCCCAACCTAAACTCACCTCTCACTTCTCTTTCCCTCAATGTCCCCTCCAACTGCCCTCCTCACTGATCCCGACATTCCCCTCCTCCAACACCTTTCCAGCCCCTTTCCCAGTCCCTCTCAGGTACTCCCACCCTGACCCCCTCAGGGCTTCCTATACCTCCCCCCCAAACCCTTTCCTCCAACATCCCTCCCTCTCAGGGGTTCCCCCGATCGGTTCCAGGTCCCTTCTACCCCCAAGACCCTCCAGTTCCCTCCTCATCCTCACAGACACCCCCAGTACAACAACACCCGCCCCCCCCCTCACCCTCCAGCGTGATCGCGTCCAGCTCCCGCTGCGGCTGCCGCTCTCCGGCCGCCTCGGGGGCCACCGGCGCCGCCTCCTCGTGCATCTCGACATCGGGAGGGGCGGGCGGGGGTCCCTCCGGGGGTGCCTTGGCCTTGTCGCCGCGGCGGCGGGACGCGCCGTCCTGCTTCATGGCGTGACACTGCACAACGGGCCGCCAGGCGCGACCAGCCGAGCGCCGAGCGACAGACGATCGTCTCCTTCCGCCTTTCGCTCGGCCGTTTCCGCCATCGCTCGGGTTGTTCCGCCGCGCTTTCGGCTATCTCAGGCACCGCTCGGAGAGTTCCGTAGTGCCCTCTCGTGGAGTTCCGTGATCCTCTCGGATGTTTCCGTCTTCGCTCGTAGATTTTCGCCTCCTTCTCGGGCGTTGCGGCCGAGCCCTCTCGGAGGGTTCCGGCATCGATCGGCTTCTTTCGCCTCACTCCCTCGGGAATCTCCGTAAAGATTTCGGTCGTTTCCGCCGGGTGCTGAGCTGTTCCCGCCTTTTGGGGGCGCCGGCGAGGTGGAGTATTCGCTGAGGCGTAGCGCGAGGTCCCGTGAGGGGCTGGCCTGTGCTGGGGGATCCCGTGAAGGGTCCCGTGAGGGGCCGTGCTGAGGCCAGATCGGGGATCCCGTGAAGGGTCCCGTGAGGGGCTGGCTGGGAGCGGGGATCCCGTGAAGGGTCCCGTAAGGGGCTGGCCTGTGACAGGGGATCCCGTGAGGGGCCGCTCTGGGACCGGGGATTCTGTGAGGGGTCCCGTGAGGAGGCGAGCTGGGGGCTGAGAGTGGGAGTCCCATGAGGGGCCAGGTTGAAGCTAGGGGTTTTATGAGGGGTTTGGTCTGGGACTAGGGCCAAAGGGTCCCATGACAGTTCCAGGTTGGCATCGGGCTCCCCTTGTAGGTCTTGCAAGGCAGAGCCTGGTCCCTGGTGCTGGAGGTCCTCCCAGAGCTGTCAGTGCCCACACAGGTGAGCAGTTCTGCCCCTTGCTGCAGGCATCCCTGACCTCCAGGAACCCTCCCAGGGTCCCAAAGCCTGAGGGACGCCCCCTTCCCCCAGGGCTAAGTGCCTGTGTTTTTCGTACAGCATCCCGAGCTTGTCAGATGTGCTGTGGGACCAAAATCATACAAAATTAAGAAATTGACTTTGAGAACACCCAGTTGCATAGCTAGAAGGTTCTCTTTATAAATAAAGTGATAATGAGAGTATGGTTGCTCTAAAATGCTGCCTGTGTTCCTCGAGCATCTCAGGAATGATGGCAGTGTTAGGACGAGGGAGGTGTCAGTGAAAAAAATCCACTTTGATATCCAACCTTTAATATACATAACGGGTTTTCCTGCCTTAAATTTTCTTCTTGCCAGCCTTTGCCAGCCTTGTTTATTAACAAGGATGATACTGGGAGAGAAAACAGTCTTGACAGCAGAGATTTCCCAAGACCTTGCAGAGAGGTTCCCTGGGCAGGGCCTGGTGTGTCCTACTCGGAGCCACTCAGGAAGTTGAGAGCATACAGGGCCACAAACAGGGCTGCCACGGCCTCGAAGGGTTGATCCCTAGGGACAGCTGATCCATCTTCCTGGAGCTGCACTCCACTCAGCTCCACCAGTTCCATGGTTAACATCTGTTCCTCCTTGTGTGGGAAGGAGAGCAGCCTGGCATCCACATGGAAATTACACATCTTATCCTCCAGGTCATGTTTCAGTAGCTCTGCAACCTTTGAACAACAATAAAAAAGCAAAATCAGGATG